TGTTAAAAAAACCTCACTGACATTCTTTGTGTCCTGCTAGAAACTTCTACTGATGATAATCAATTGCAATATATGTCTCAAAAGTAGGAAAAGACTAACAGAGAGTTCACCACAGCCAGTTCTAAGTTACAAACACATTTCTTAAGAGATAAGCAGGAGAAGTAAGACTGCAATGGTACTTAACAAAACATTATAGGAGACTTTTAAGCAATATAGCAGGTGAAGAAACATTAGATGAATAAAAGCACATGCTCTCCCTTCCGTTAGGAATGGAATCACAGAAACTCTGTATGTCTAATAAGAAACTAGACTGACGTTTTCAAAATTCAGTTGAGAAATCATAAGTAAGCCAAGCACACAGTCCTGCTCAAGAACACCCACATGCAAAAAACCCCCCAAACATTTAAATATAGCTCAGCATAAATGCTAGCAGCACAAGACATAAAACCCGAATGTCTGTTTTTAATCAAGGACAGTGACATAACAAGCATACCAGAAATATGATGGAAGCAAGACAAATAAGCAAGATAGTGATACAAAATATATAGGAAAGTCATCAAACTAAATATCAATGTATTAACTCATTAAATCAAATAGGGATTGAATTTCCAGGCCTAATGCGGTAAACTCTGCTGTTAGACAATTAAGATGACGGTAGTAGCTATGACATCCAAGGACTATAAGGCCAGCAATGTCACCGTAATGAAAGACAGCAATTATTGGCTGGTTAGATAAATATCACACTGAAAAAGCCAAGATCACTTTTTAACATATTTTTTTCATGCAGCCAGCCATGATCTGTCTAAATTTTACATTCAGTGACAGATTCCATTTGACTGCTAACGCTAGACTGATGGTTTTACGAAGGTTGACTTTTCAGTTCTAGGAGCTTTTAATCCATGCCAGCTTCTCCCTCCCCCCACAAAAAGTTTGATTTGGCGTGTGTATTTAAAGACGTCATACTGAAGTTTGGTGCATACAATGTTAGTGCAGTTGTCAAGCATTGCATTTTAATTTTTTTTACTTGCCTCTTTGGTTTCATTTTAGCATATTTCCTTGTTTTATGTTGCTCCTTTTTTTGTGGAACTCTGCAGTAGTGGACTGTTGTCTTTATTAATAAAAGTGGTTTATATTTTCGCAGAAATAAAAGTTACCATCACAAAGCCAGTCTTTGAAAATAACACTTTGAGTCGGGTCGTGTATGCTCCAGGGGACCACAGTCAGAATTGAATTAGACAGATCAGAGTATAGAGGAACAATTTACAAAAGTGCATACAAACTGAACACCAGGTTAGGAACAGGTGCCATGCCCGAGTAAGACAAGCAGACGATCAAAATAAGAAGGGAAGGCAAAGCCACAGAGAAAAAAAATCCCCAAACTCTGAACAAAACCCCAGATCAGTTTTTGGTACCACACAGGAACTTGAGTAGAACCTCTACAGGCAACTCACGGAAGATTTTACCCCTCAGAGCAAATCATCAGAAGAGGTTACAGAGCAAAGAGTGACAAATGGCTGGGGCTGGGGGCTATCACTCCCTAATTCCAAAGGAAATAAGTAACTGCAGTGTGAAACTTATGGGTTAAAACCGCCTCATTATCAAATGACTGGAAGATGGCAAAAGCGACAGCAAGCTTTGGGGAAATTTGTGGGTGGAAGGATTACTTGTTTCGTAAGAAGAGATTCCAGAGGGACCCAGGGAACTACAGACTAATTATACTTTTCTGTACATAGCAAATTGCCAGAAATTGGTCTAAAGCTATGAAAACAACTGGATAAATGTACTGAGGGAAGTCAGAGTTGCTTTTGCAAAGGAAAGTCATATTTGATAAACATTTTTAGAGTCCTTCTAAAGAGTAAAAAGAGATGAGAGTAAGGAGATCTAATAAAGCACGCTTGAAATTCTAAAAGGCATCTGACACATTCCCTTGCCAAAAACCATTAAAGATGCTGTGCTGCCAAGAGAAGAAGTTGTCATATCAGTAAATTGTTTAAAGATAGAAGAGAAAGGTTACGAATCAGCAGTCATTCTTTCCTAAGGACATGGATCACCAACAGAACACCACAGGCACCTATGCTGAGGCTAGCAAAGTACAACCAATTCATAAGGGTTCCGAGACAGCAATTTCTGAAACCCACAGTATATTCCAGTAACACTAAGTTACTCTAAGTAACAAAGGGATAAAGGAGTTAAACAAAAAATTGCAGAACCATTTCACTGAGGAAACAGGTGTTAAAAGCAGTAGACTGAATTCACTGTAGAACAATTCACACTGGAGAAAATACAAAAAAAAAATAAAATCAGTCCTAAATACATATACAAGGAAATGGGCTCCAAGTTGACCATTAATTATTTATGACTGAGTTATTGTTCTTATATAGCTTCTGAAAAAGTGTAAAGGTTAGGAAAAGGCAAAACTACTATGCATTATTTTTGGAAGCAATATAAAACAAAATATCCTATTTTTTTTAGATTAATCCACAGCGAATACCATGAGCGGTTCCACCTGCTCCTCCCTCCTTGAGAAACTGGAAAAGTAAAAGACAACAAAGATGATGTAAGGTACAAAAGAGCTTTCCAGCAATAAGCAACTAAAAGAAATATGGGTCTTCAGTTTGAAACAGAAACAACTGAGGCAGGAAGGATACAACAGAGGTCTACAAATTCAAAAGTGACGCAGAGAGAGCACAAGAGGGTTGTTATAATGTCTCCTCAAAAGTGCCGGCCTCAACCAAAGCTATGAAATGGCAGATTCAAACGTATCAAATTGCTGGAGGTAAGAGAGTCTTCTAAGGAAACATCACCACCCACTTGATCTGTTACCCACCCTACGAATTCACTGCTTCCATTGTCTGAGACATCACACCAGGCCAGACAGGACCCTAGTCTGACAAAGAGATACTACTTCTTAGAGTGGATGTACACAGTAAATGATGAAATGGATGACTGTTTTTAACCAGTTTTCAGTTCTAATTTACTAGTTTGAAGAAAAGGGATATAAAGGTCTTTTAAAAATATGACTTTAAGGCTACCAACACTTCAGTCTAGTCCTAAAGCAACAGCAGTAATAAAAACATAGTATGTATTGCTACATTAAAAAAAATACTTAGCAGCATACTGAGCTGCTTCTGAGGGTGTTATTCCAGGTTTTAATCACAAATATAAACTACAAATGCCATTGCTAATAACTTATTTAACAGTTCCCTTACCCAACAAAACAAGGGATAATAATAAATAGGGTCAGAACTGACTAAGAGGAAATTATTTTTAATCTCTTAATTTTGGCTTCTGGTCAAGATATGTCACACAGGCTTTGCCTGTAAAATACTAAGGACAGGTATGGGCAGTAGCCAAGTTACTGACATATTACTACTTGACTAGTAAAAATGGGAGTACCAGCTGTCCTTCCTCACCTTCAGCGCCCCTGGAAAAAATTCAGCTATTCTCTGGCCAGTTCCTCCTATCAAAGAGAAACATAATTAGCAATTATATTTTTGGTGCAAAGACACATACGACACATAACTTTTAACAAATAACACCACCTCTCTACAAAGAGATAACAGCAAGATAAGGGCTCCTGAAAGGACTACCTTTAGTGGTATTCACATTCCACAGCGAGTAACACAACCAACTGTAAAACCCCCTGAATATATAACCATTCCTTGTATTATTTCTCAGTACATACCTGCAAGAAGCTTGAACATGCACTGCTTTCTGGAACAAAGACAAAATTTCTCAGCTGCACAAATGAAGAAAATCTCAGACTTTAAAGACTCAAAGTTATCACCAGTGAGATCTCTTCTTTCTGTACTTCAGTTTGTGCCAAGATGAGAAGTAATTTCAAAAGCTGAATCAACATCTGGATCATGACGCAATGAACACTGGAACTAAGAAGTGAAGGTCCTAAACCACACTGATAATTTTCTTTAGAGATGATAAAAACATCAATTACCAAAAATTACTTGATCTCAATAGACAAGCCTGCGGTCAAATTTTTGGTAATTTTTCAGCAAGAGAGGAACCCTGAGGATCATTTACAGCTGAATAATTACTCTGCTTCAAAAGCTGCTTTGAATAAAATAAATGGCTATTTTATTGACTATACATACATATTAAAGAGCATCAACATAACAGCTGAACTGAGCGTTCAAGAAGATATAGAGCAAAACACCTTGACTTTACACTCGGGAAGTGATATGTGTTTTCTAAACATCTACTGAGTCAGTGAAAAGTCTTTTATGCAGCAAGGTCTGCAACTGTACTGTTCATCAGTGTATGTGCAGCTCCAACTCCAAATATTACAGAAATAGCAACTCCAATGACCAATCAACAGTCCTTCAATGTATAAATGCAAGTGTTACTGGATTAAATGAGTGCTGTACATACAGTCAATAATGGAACTGAGCAGGTTTTGTCTTTATAAAAAACACATTGCATGTAATTAAATCCCCTGAAGCCAATTCAGGTATGTCAAAGATCTGGAAGCTCCTAGCTTTGTAGTGTGAGCTACAAACAAACAAAAACCAAAGGAAACTCCTTGGCACTTTGTAGGGACTAACTGATAAGAATAAAAAATTATGCAGTTCCCAGTCTTCGTCCTACGTGAAAAACTTGATGCAATCATACCCGCCAACCAACAAACACGCCTCCGCACTTTATTAACCTTTGTGTAACATGATAATTCCAAGTAAAATCTCCACTCTATCCCAAATTGGAAAACACGACTTTATAAAAATATAGTCCTCTAAAATGTATCAGGAAGTTATTTAAAACTATTACCATACCAAAACCAGATTTTTTTCAAATTGTTACATACACAGATTTCATAATACCAAATGGACTCTTTTGGGTAGCTAACTGTGCATGCTGGACTTTACCGCTGCTGAATTTGTCCTCTGACTAAACAGTATCAAGTCAATTACATACATCAATCTTCAACTAATCTCCAACACCCCCCCCATTTAATATAATATATTTATATATTACCATCGTGACATTTAAGTAGGTACTTATTCAAGGCAGTATTTAAGTCATAAGCTGCAAGCCTCCATCTACAATTAGAGTACTCCCTGTAACATAAGGGGACTCCAGAAGAAAGACAACGGCTTGTGCAACTTCACGAGGCTCTCCAAATCTTCCAAGGAGAATTGCTTTCTTCAGCTGATCTTCTTCCAAATGAGCAGTCATCTCCGTGTGAATAAAGCCTAAAAGAGGAGAGATATTTGAAGAATTACCTAACCTTCAACTAAATTTCCCTAGAGGATTCTCTCTGGAATCCTCCAAAGTGAAATCTACTACCAGCTATGGTTGTTCAACATCTCAAAATTCAGTCCGCATCATTTTATAGCTGAGAATTTTTTTACCTAACCAATAAAACAACTTCCAGTTTTGGAAGCACTGATACAATAATAAGAATGCAGAGATCTACAGAAGTCCATAAACAAACAAACAAAAAAAGGTAACTAAAATTGGGTCCCAAACCCATATTTAGCATCACTTTTCTGAAAGACAAAATACAGTTATTCCAACAAAACATTCTCAATAAAAACACGAGTATGAAATCTCTGTCAAGAAACCCCTACAGCTTGCAAATGTTTCCACAATATTTTAGAACTTATGACAGCATTTGCATAATTTCTATTATAGCACTCATTTGAAGAATATTTCTCGACATTTTTGAAGGACATTTCTTTACAATTTTCAGTTATCTGAGATTCAGTTTTCCCACTGCTGCACTTCTCTTCACATAAGCTGCAGCTTCATAGAGCTGATCTTATCTGCTTTCTAGCTGCTATCAAGAAGGGAAAGTCTCAGTTTTCCTTTCTACTGTACAACTCTGCCCCTTTATGATGACTCTGGACCCTTCAGTTTGCTGCTCAACTCACTAAACAATAAAAAGTATTTTTCCTGCCTAGTTCACAAGCTGAACTGGTTCACGTAGAGGTGTGACAGGCATTAGAGCTAGCACAAGGTGAGCAGCAGAGTACACAGCTATGAGTGGAAAAAGTCAGAAAAGACAGAAGGATTTTTCCTTCAGGGTGATGGGTTGCTTGGACTAGATCATCTTGTGAAATCACAGCCTTGTCCTCAGACCTCACCGAACTTTCTTTCCAGACTCTCTCCTTTTACTACAGGAATAGACAGGGATGCTTTCATGCCAGCTTCTCATGGTCTTTCATGTTTCTCTAATAACAAATAAGCATTCTCTAGCAGGAGACGAGGGTAGCTGCCTGTATATAATTAGTTCTTCCATCTGCAAGGACAGCAGGTTTTGAAGGAGGAACAAAGAAAAAACAAGACATTTATTATGTAATAATGGACAGAGGAACAGGTAGACATGCTCTTCCAAATCTCTCAGTGTTCCCTTAAAAGGACTGAAGGTTTTGTAAAAGAATGTATTACACTTTAAACGGAAAAAAAAGGTATTAAAAACATGTACTTACAAAAGTCGAAGAAAAAAAATAACAATTTGTCTTAAGTTACTTTCAGAGTACAGCAAATATCCAGCAGTCTTGACGATCATGTATTGCAACATCAAGGATGTAGGAACTTCCCAAAACTAACCTGGAGCAACCACGTTGACTCGAATTTGTTTTTTTGCTACTTCTTTAGCAAGGGAGCGTGAAAATCCAACTAATCCTGCTTTGGTAGCACTGTATACACTTTGACCAGAGTTGCCTTTAAGTCCTACAATACTTCCTAAAATAAAGAAATATCAAAGAGAAGAAAAGATTAAATGCCTAATTTGAAACCTTGTACTAGCTTTATCATTTAAGTTTTAAACTTGGAATGGAAAATGAGATTACAAGAAAAGGAATTAAAAGTATATTACTTAAGTGTACTTTATAGCCTACTGCTGGGATAAGCAAATCCCTCAATTATCTGTGATTTTTGTGCAATCCATATACCTATGTTGACCAACAGGTACCAGGAGAGTAAAATGAAGAGCTTTCTAAAAAAGTACCCTTGGAAAGGAAAAAAAGAAAAGAAAAAAAGAGAAACCAACTGTACCTATTTGATTCTTAGTTAATAAGTAGCAACTGGTAGATTTAGCTACTGAAAGAGCTGATAAAGAATGGTAAAATTCTTTTTTTGAATAAAATATAAACTCTGAGGTGTTTATTACTGAAACAAGCTCACTGTACATTTAGAAGTTGCTGAAATTGCACAAAAGAATAAGCATTCATAAAGCAATGCTAAATACAGAATGTCTAAATTCAAATAAAATAGTCAATCGTAACAAGTAACATTTTAACATGTTACTCCTGCCAAACATTTCTAGGAAAATATTACATAGAATTCCATTGGATTAGACAAGCAACTTACCTATGTTGACAATAGCACCTCCCTTTTGTTGAATCATGCTTTTTACAGCAGCTTTGCATGTCAACATTGTTCCCAAAAGGTTAGTGTGAATCTGGGCTATCATATCTTCAGTCTTGGTTCTCAGTAACAACCCATCCCTGACAAACAGACCAAAAACCCCAAAAGAACTCACTGAACAATCCCAATGATCACATTTACCCATAATAAAGCATGACTGATGAATGGAATATTAATGGGGATTTATATGGTTCCATACATTCTAGTATTCAAAACACTAGTGTTCAAGACACTGCAAGGATGACACGTAGCAAGATGAAAGTTAGTTATGCTTCTGGCAACAAAGCCTCCTTTGCAGAGAGGTATTAAAGATTGTTTTGGACCACTTCAGGGTGAAGAAGTAGAAGAGAGCGGAGTAGAGGGGGAACTCAAACTCCGAATGCAAAAGCTACAGCTATACCATCTGTTAGAATCCTACTTTCATGAGGAACAAAACACTGATGAGCACTAAATGCTGTTTTCGGATGTACTCATTAACGATTACTCTTACTAAATGCAAAGGCTATTAGCACCTTACAAGAAGATGCTGTCATCCAGAATTACATTCATTACAAGACCGTATAACTAACCTGTTGATCCCAGCTGCGTTAACCAAGTAGTTAATAGGACCTAAATTCTTCTGCATCTCCTCAAAAGTATTTTGGACTTCTTGTTCACTGGATACATCACAGCTAAGTGCCAAATGTCCTGCTGTATTGAAATAAAGGGACGTCATAATAATAGTAAAAGATGGTATACCATTCATAAACCTTCAGAATTTACCAAGTCAATGGCAAAAATAGATGTTGAACTAGTAACTTGAGGAACCTGTTTAATCTCCAGAGAATTAAATAAAGACAATTTTCAAGTATTGCATTGATTAGTTATGTAACAATTTCTTGATTCATGTTTTGGCCTTTTGAAATCAGAAGTTCAACATGAGCAGACTAGTCTCAGTTCTGGCTTGGTCAGGAGCCAAGGATGACTCAATTCACACCACCTCTCTGTTGTGACTTTGAACAATTCCTTTCATCTTACCTATTCTACCCACAAGATATGAATTGTAACACACTTAACCTTCCCAAAGAATATTGCAAAACCAAAATTGTACTGGTATAGCTTTTCTTTCAAATTTCTCAGCCATTACTTTAATTTTCATCCAGTTAAACAATGAGGTTTATATAATGCTTTACTATTTTTACAAGTTGCCTAAGCCCTGGGCAGTGAAGAAAGTATTGCAAAGCAGCATACGTACCACCAAGATTACGTGCAGTGGTTTGGGCTACTTCCAGATTTCTAGCAATAATCGCCAGGCGGCAGCCTTTCTGTGCCAGTAATTCTGCAACAGCTTTCCCTATTCCTCGGGATCCTCCAAAAATGGCGCAAACCTTGCCCATCTTCAAAAATAATTCACAAATTTGCAAACAAATTATGAATTTCAGATCACATATAGCAGAGAATAACCGTTATCTTGTCAATATCAAGGCCCTTACTAATCTGTAGCATTTTGTAATATCCAATTATAGAATTAGTAATGTTAATTTTTTTATTCACAAAAAAGAAATACTTGAACTAAAATAGTCACCGCTTCTACAAATACCAGTTAATTCTTAATGATTTCTGAACTAGTAAAAAAAAATATGCGTGTAATCTAGCATTTTGATTCTACTGTTATGATAATTCCTATTCAGTTGATGAAATATGCGATTTATGTATCTAAAGGCCATAACGTATTGTTCAGGTGTTTATTCAAAGCCAACACAGTAGCTGTAATAATATTGTTCTTGCAAGTACAATTCTCGTCCTTAAGTCATTTAGCCTCAAGGTCTCACTCCATCCTAAGTATCTGTGTTGGACATCCACACTGCAAACATTACTGAGCGTGATTCGATACTACTGTATTCACACTAGTTTAATACTAAGCTACACGACAAAATACTATGTTTTAGCACTAGCCTTAGGGTTTTTTGGTTTCTGCTTTTGAAGAAAAAAACCCACTTTTTGAAATGTGAAACGATTGTGAAGTAGCTAGCTTAGATGTTTAGGAAGGAATGTTAGAAGAAAGTACTTCTGTAGAATGGTCTTTTATTCTGCAATCTCTATAAACCAATCAGCTGTTTTGGGATTTTCTGAGGAGCCAGAGGCAGAATCCAAGCAATAGTAATGAACCTCTTTTCCATACGTTTGAATAAATCCTTTTTGAACTCAATTAAACTTTGTCTCCATAACATCCTGAGGCAATAAGTTTCATTATTTGTGGAAAAGTACTTCTTTTTGTTCTTAATTTGTTTTCTGATTAGACAATACTACGCATTTCTCTTCATATCTTCCCCTCACTGTTCATAACTTCAGAGCCTACTCTTCTGCATTTTACCCTCCTCCTATATCCTCTTTCAGGTCTATTTAGTTACTCTTATACACATGGAAGCCATTCTGTATCTCACTAAAGACTGTCCAAGCTCTTAATCCTGCTACCCTACCCCTTCCCTTACCTAGGTATATCATACCCTTTTTGATGTCTGACAACCAGAAGAGCACACAGTGTTAAGCATACAAGCACACCATCAACTCATACAATTGCATAACAGTTTTGGTTTTCTGTGACAGGGCCTGGAAGAGCAGCTGGTCCTTTTCTGTAACAGAAAGTAAACCCATGTGCTTGAAATAAACCCATTTGTCTGCTTCCACTAGCAAGTTTAAACCAGCTTCCTAGGGGTAAGAAGAGGATTAAGTACTTGCCTCTCAGGTGGCAGCCCTTTCGAAAGAACACATACAAAAACATGTCCTGCACGAAGACAATTCCTTAGTGATAAAAAGACACTGCTACCTCACCAGAAAGACTAATCTTTTGAGTAGCCCTTATTAGGTAGCTAGACTGCACGAGATGAATCAAGAGGTCTTGAACCCCATTATCGGCAGCTCTTACTGTCTTAGCAGACTAAAGGCACAATCAATCAACCCATATTTTGATGACAGATTTTTGTGTTAGAATCAAAGTCTCAGTCTGCCCTCTCCATCACAACTGATCTCTTCTTTTACTGAATTAGCTACAAAGACTCTTAGAAGTTCTTGCCTACTTGTTGCAGCAATGTTGCACCAGGATCTATTCCTCCATTCCCTCCTCCATATTTTGTTCTTACCAGCACTGAGCATACCTACTCTCTTATTTTTATTTGAAACACGGAATAATATAGATTAGAAAGGACCTCTGGAAGTCACCTTGTTTAACTCCTCCACCCCTAAGCAATATCAAGTGAACCATCTCATACTGCTATCAGATCTATATGTATGCTCTTTTCCAAATAATTCTGAATGTGCAGGACCCAAAAACCCGCCTGTGGGGAGAGAACTTCTTTAAAACGTATTGATCTGCCCTTCCTGTTCTCTCTGAGAAGGGAAAAAAATCTTGGTGATTCTATCGTTCTCAGGAAAGAACAGTGAAAGTCCCTTGTGCATTAACCAGGTATTTACAGGCCGCAGATAAGGCCTACTTCCAAGAGAGCAGTATACAATTCGTGTTTTAGCACAAAAAAGCCATACAGACTCTTTGGAGTTGTGACCTGGGAGAAAAAAAACCCTGCAGTAGGAGGAATAACCCTATGGTCTCTCGTCAACCGAAGGCAGGGAAAAACAAGTATCTTTTGAGCAACAGGCCCCTTTAGGTCGCCACACAGCACACACGAGCGGCTGTTCCACCTTTGCCCTCTACGGTCCTCTTCTTCCAGAACGAACCGCTTAATCCGTGACCACCAGGGCTCCAGCGGCACTGCCGCTTAACCGCCTCACAGCTCTACGTCCGCTGCAAGACGCCATTCAACAAATGCCACTCAGGTATACCGCGGCCGGGCCGACGCCTCACCTCTGCCCAGGCTGCCCCGCCAGCACACCGCCCCCGGCCCACCGCGGACAACCCCCCTCCGCAAACCTTGCTTTTCGCCCCCCGCCTTTTTTTTGGGGGGGGCGTGGGGGTGGGAGGGGAGATCTGGGCTCCCACCAACCTCCTCCGACCCGGGGCGGCACTTCTGCCCCGACCGACAGACGGAGGGCCCTCACGACAGAGGGC